CTCGTCCGTGGCGCGTCCCTCAGACCCTCCTGAACAGCCCGCTTGAGGCAGAAAGCCATGCATCGGCCTCCCCACATGCAAAACCGACGCATAGCTCCTTTCGGGTGGGGCATATGATAGGGTTAAAAAAAATTGATTTGACGTAACACCCCGGATTTGACGTAATGCACCCCCACGTCGGACACCCTATGCGGCCCACTGCCCCAAAACGAGCATTAACGACGACGCGACGCGCGCCCACACCCACCGTACCCGAACAACCTCCTCGGCTGACCCCTCGTGGCCGACCGAGGCAGGCGAAGGCGCTGACTGACACCCTCCATACCCTGCGGCAGCTCGGCCTTCCACGCAACGTCCACAACGACGACATACGCCGTCAGAGGTACGACCCTGCCCCGGCAGGTTGGCGCACCAGGTAACATCAAACCCGCTTATAAATACCCCCTGGCTCCCAATGGGCAAGGGGATCTGCCTAAAAAAACACCTCTCCTTTATCGCTAACTTGATCGTCGGAGGGGTCGGGACGAGCTACCGACCCGACCTGTGTGCAGGTGCCCGACCGTCGCTGGATCCCTTCGGCGCCGCAGAACTTTCCAAGCCAGCCCCCCTGCGTCAGCAACGTCTCGAGGGGAGCCGCGTCTGATCCTAGCCATTTGGAGCCCTGAACCAGCCGCGTCGACCCCGAGGTCACGGCAAAAAAGTTACTTACCGTAACAGATTGCATTTGGTGGAGGTTCATCAATCAAGGGCCATTCTGGTTAGTTTTTGTTGGCTTTTCTTGTATAACTTTAGGGAGGAAAGAGAATAATAGAAAGAATTAGGAGTTCTTTCAATCGAAGGATAATTATATATTATCCTTTTAGTTATATATGATTAGTATTTTGATTTTTACATTTTAAAAAAAAATAATATTAAGATTTTTATATTTATGAAAATAAAATATTTTATTATAATTATCCTCACATCATCAATTTTGTAGTGGTAAAAATATAATTTCATATAAACTTTTGACGCTAGCAAGAATGTAACACATATGGTCACCATTCTTGTTGTTTTTTGGGTTTCTAATCACCGAGATCTTAATTCATCATATATTTATTTTCACAAAACAAGTACCCTTAATTTTTTATATGATGTCATGTATACTCTTTTTTCTCTGTGTTTTTTCTTTTACTGGCACTATTGTGGTTTTAGCGAATGAAGAACTTCTAGGCATGGCTGGTGACCTACATCGGTATTCTTATTTTCACTGCCCACCATGAGATGTTTCTCCAATCCCCCCTTCTCGTACTTAGCCTAAGGGACATCGCACTTCCACTCCTCTCCCTTACCCTAGGCAATCGATTACTAGTGGTGCTATGCACATCTATCGAACTCGTCGTCACTCCCACCGTTGTCTGCCTTGCCCTAGTAGTCTGACATCTCGATCATGTTGCAATCCTCCACTAGGGCCTAGTAGCACTCCAATGCCTTGGCGGAACTCCACTCTGCTAATTGTTGCGATGACAGACCACTAGTCCAAGGTGCCTTCCAGGTACACCACCAAGGCTTGCTCGAAGAGCTTGTCCTCCTATCACGTCCATAGCCTCGACACCGCCCCCCATGAACTGCTTGGAGAACATAAACATCAAGTCACCTCACCCATTCGTCTTACTCTTCTTTTGCAAGGAATGGGGGGGTTGGTGACACAATATTTTTTACTCAACATTGTCATCGGTCTATCATCCATAGCGCAACTGGAGGCATGTGAGGTTGGTGCACGAGGGTGGCATTCCAAAGGAGATCCGAGCACCAACCTCACGTGCCACTGATGTTGTTGATGGTTTATAGTCTGCAACGCAACCATAGATATGTGAGGGTGGTATTCTAGAAGAGATCTGAGTGTTAGCCTCGCATGCCACTGGCATTACCGACCTTGTGCCCCACCGACACCGCTATCGTCCACAGAAAAGTTTATAGGAAATTAACTTTTTACCCTTTTTATTCACGATGAAATTGACAATACGTATAAAATTGGGATAAATGTTTCACTTTCATAAGTGTAGAGATCTCAAAACTACTTTTTAAATTATAAGAACAGAGATGCTAATTCTATTTAACTATAGAGTGTAATATGTAATTACCCCTTTCAATTTGCTTTTAGATTAATCCAAAAGCACCTATTTATATTGACTAAAAGATAAAATATAAGTTTTTTAAAACAAAGAAAAAATCTACTGTATCCCAAATAAATATTCTCATCCTAATCTATTTATTTAAATCTAAATATTTATCTTTTACTTTATCTAATCTAACTATTTGAATTGATTAACACACCCCCTAATTTGAATAGTTGTAACTTAAAGTTATCTTCGGAATAAAATATTTCTTTCACTAAAGTTTTTGTGAAGATATCAATAAACTGATCTTCGATACCGCATCCACTATTTTTTGCATCTTTAACATTTTTCAGTGTCTTCAATGGTTGCTCATCTTTACTTTTCTAAGAAGACTCGTCACAACCACTGTTGTCTTTTGATAGTTGAGACTTTTTAGTTCGTTGCCCTTTTATCAAAATTTTTATTGAAAGTTATCTTCCTCATCTTCATCACTACTAGTGCTCTTCTTTTTTGTAGTCTTTGTAACAAGTTTACCAATGGTAGATGAAACACGATCTAAAACTTTTAGCTTCTTTAATTGTGGCTCCTAATTGCTCTCATCAAAACTTTCATCAACTTTAGTCTTATTCTAAGGCATCTTCTTATCAGTTTAAATTTTAAAGAACTTATTATATGAGATAGTTTGTATAGATCTAGAAAAATTTTAATGGTCATAACTTTTATGCTATAATGTCTATTCATTAATAACAATAGCATGGAAGGAGAAATCCAAAAATAATAAATGAAACACTTTATTTTTTTTTTGTTATCCATAGAATTGCTATCAATTTTTTTTTATTTTTTTAATCATAAATTAAGCATTTTTATCATAAAAAATAATATAATATTCTTTTTTCATCAGTTGCCCTAACCTAATGATATTTTGTCTTAAACTAGAAATAAACATCAAATCATCAATAAATTTTTTTATCAGATTTGGTGTTCATAGAAATTATTCATTTTCATTCCACTTGAATCTTGATGTCATTTCCCATCTGTAAATCTGATTGAATCATCAAGTCTTTGAAATAAATTATGTCTCATATCATATGATTACTATATTCACTATCTAAAATCCAAATAGATCTAGAATATTCTTTATTAGATGCTATAAAGAAAATATATTTTCATCTTTTTTTTTCATCATTATTTTTCTCATGATAATTTATTTAATTTTTTCTAATAATCTTTTTCAAGATGATCATATTTTTTTTATAATAAGAGCATGGATTTTTATTTTTGTACTAATAATCTTTTTCAATATATCTAATCTTTTTATAATAAAAATATTGATAGGTTTCTTTACTACCTTTGTTCGGGTTCCTTTAACCTCGTTTGATCAATCATAACCTCTGCTAATTTAATCTCTCCCTTGAGATCTAACTTTAAAATTTTTCTTTTGGTCCTTTTTTTTTATCTATCTTCATTTAAAGAACATGTTTTGAATTTTTTTCTAAAGATATATTTATTTTTTGTTCATGAGCTAAAAAGGAACCCATTAATTCATCAATAGATAATGTATTTATATCTATAGCTTCTTTTATAGTAGTATAAATTATATCAAATTTGGAGATAAACTTTATAAAATATTTTCTACTATAATTTGATATTTAAGATTTTCACCGTAAAATCTCATTTGGTTCATAATATAGGATATTTTTTAAGAAGAAATCAATGAGAGATTCAGAATCTTTCATCATAACAATTTCAAATTCATATTATAGAATTTAAAGTTTTAAAATATTTACCTTGTTTGTGTCTTCAAATACACTTTTTAGTATTTTTCGTACTTATGTTGATGTCATGTCATAATGATTTGGGAAAATAGGGAATCATCTTATTTTGTTTATTGTAGCATATAGCTACATCTTTTTATATATTCTCATTCATCTTATTTTTTTTTATCTTTAGTAATATTAGAATCTTGTTGATCATACTTAACAAAACCATCTTTTACCAAATTTCATAATCCTAATGAGATAAATAAAATTTTCATCTTAATAGTTTAAAATTGATAATTATCACCTTTGAAGATAAAGAAGAAGTAGATTATGAGCACTGACTCGTCTTCTTGTTTTTTTTCTAGATCTACTAACAATTTTTTTTTATTGATCTTCATAGAACTGTTAGTTTTTCTATAGAATTTCAAGTAGCTTTTGGATTGTTCCAAAAGCACCATTTTATATTGATTAAAGGATAAAGTATAAAATTTTAAAATAATAAAAAAATCTATCATATCTCAAATAATTTTTTTCATCCTAATTTATTTATTTAAATTTACATCTTTATCTTTTACTTTATCTAATCAACTGTTTAAATTAATCTTAACAGTCTCGTCATTTTTCATGTCTAATGACATGACTTAGGCAGTAGGAAACTTGAAGAGCAGGCAAGTGTTGCCTCAAGAACAGGGTTTCCTTCACCAAATCTACGACTTGATTGAAAGATACATTCTGCCTAAACGAAGTCACTTTCCAGTACAAAAATGACAGCGTTGTACTGTACAGTAGATTTGGTAATAACTCTCTGCAAGCACATGAGAAAATTAGCCAATTGAATGTGTTCCCTTTCTTCTCTGTCAAGGAGTGTTGATGACAGTACACGTTGTCTACCATCCTAGCTAGATTAAGAATCCTGAATTATTTGAGACAAAGGTCACAATAATTCTCATAAAACAAGGAAATGGCAAGCATCACATCTACATTTTTATTCAGCAGTAAAATGTATATCCATTTTGATCAGCGTCCTCCGCCATCTACTGAGATGAACAGTTGCTGTTACAGGCTACAAAGGCAAGAAAAGTTGGCCTTCTGTTCTACTCTATTTGGTGGCCACAATAGAGGAACCAAAGAGTGTCAGACCCTGTGCATGAATCAGAGTACACCACCAAGTTTCTATCCGTGTTACACAGTATAGTATTAATCGAACTTTTTCTGTGAGCCCCCTGTTGATAACAAAATGAATGGACCATAATCCAGCATCCAGCATGTGATATCATTAAATGCAATGTTTCTTGTTCGCCCGAGCATATCTATCATTTTCATGCAGTCCTATGCAATATCTTGCTGTTATGTTGCCTTTTTCTTTCATCTAATGTTCACTGGCAATATAGCCTTCAGTTGATCGTTCACTGGTAGTCACTTCTCTGTGATTCTACCAACTTAACGCTCATAATTTGTTATCAGTGTCTTGCTCTGTGTAGTTTCAAGTAAGGAGAAGGCTGTGTCTTCATGGAGGCTTGAAACCTAGTTTGCCAAAGCAGCATGACGTTACGGTTCCAGTATTGCATCCGAAACTTGCAGCGTATACGTAGATGCACGTAACCCGAGTGCGTAAAAACCAGGGAGGGGGCGGCGGTGTCGGAGAGCATCGTGTTGGTTGAGATCGACGCGTGGCATTCAATGGGAATCGCCACTGGCTGAGTGATAAGACTTCACAGCCCAATTCTGTAGACTTTGGTAGCTTCGGCTCTGCTGGATTTGTGGGTATGAACTGTTGTCCAATGCACAGAGAGCTCCCGCCAACCACCTGCATTGAATTCTTGCTCTATATATCTATGCTTCAGTCGCTCAGAGCTCAAACACAAAAGAGGAGCGAGTCCTCCTTTCCTTGAGGGTGTCGAGGAGATGGGCAGGGCTGTGAAGTGCGCGTGTAGCCTCGGACTGATGGTCCTGGCGATGGTGATGGTTGTGGGGATCGCTGAAGGGCGTCGGCTTGAGAAAGATAACTTGCTTGGCGGTGGTGGGATCGGAGGAGGGTTCGGTGGTGGAGTTGGTGGGGGCTTTGGTGGCGGGACTGGTGTCGGTGGTGGCTTTGGAGGTGGTAAAGGTGGAGGGGGTGGTTTTGGTGGTGGTGCTGGTGCTGGTGCTGGTGGCGGGGCTGGAGGTGGCTTTGGAGGTGGAGCTGGTGGAGGTGCCGGTGCTGGAGGTGGCTTTGGAGGCGGCAAAGGTGGTGGTAGCGGGAGTGGTGGAGGTGGTGGTTCTGGCGGTGGATTTGGAGGTGGCAAGGGTGGTGGAGCTGGTGGAGGCGGTGGCTTTGGAGGTGGCAAAGGTGGTGGAGCTGGAGGAGGAGTTGGTGGTGGAGCAGGTGGCGGAGGTGGTGCCGGTGGTGGCTTTGGGGGAGGCAAAGGAGGTGGAGCTGGTGGGGGTGTAGGTGGTGGAGCCGGTGGAGGGGTTGGAGGCGGAGGTGGAGCTGGTGGAGGTGCAGGTGGTGGCTTTGGGGGAGG